AAGAAAATTACTCTTGGCTCTTATTGTGTTCAAGTAAGCCCTTTTATTGGTAGTAGTCTTAGATGAATGTTGGCTGTGATTATATATATATATATTTGCTATGAATGTTAAATTATTGTTTTTTTTAAATTTTGGAACATACTGGGCTTATTGTTGTTTTGTTCTCTAATTTGCCAAGGTTCTGTCCTTATTAGAGTTCAGAGGATTGCCCTCTCCGTTGTCTGGCAGCAGTTGTGAATGCTTAACTCTAAATACAGAACTTAACAAATGGTATCCCTTTGGGTTGGCACACTTGCTTTACTGCTTTCCAACTTTACAGAAACTAGTCATAGACATGACAATTATTTCTGTGGTTGAGGTATGACTTTCTGGAGTGACTTACAACTTTCAAGTTATTCGGTTGTTTTCTTTGTCAAATTAATCAATTGGGATTGAGTACTTATGGTATTCACAAAAAAATGGTTGGAAAGTCAATAACTTTAAACTTTTCATCAAGCAGTTGAAGTCATTGAACTTGAACTTCCTTTGTGTTATATGTGTAATTGAAATACATTGTTTTCTGCAAACTAAGTGTTTAATGAATCTTCAACTGCAGGAATCACCTGACGTGGTTTTTCCAGAAAACTATCTGGAAAGAGTAGACAGAACTTTGATTTGCTTGCTTGAACATCTGAAGACCATTGAGATTACTAGCTTTATACCCTATCAGCTTGAACCAGATGATCTTGGATTTGTAAGTTTTCTGCTTGGGAATGCAAGGGTGCTAAAAGAGATGGTCATACACTTTGGATGCAAAGGTTCAGAGTTTGATTTAGGTGAAGAGGCTAAACTTTTTGATCTGACTCAAAAATTGCTAAGTTTGCCAAGATGCTCACCCCACGCGGTAGTTCTTATTGATTAGTTCATTTTTTTTCTTTTCAACTGAATTTAGTGATTAGACCATAACAAAACTCAACCAGCCTGTAATTATTATGTCTCTAGCTTAAACTGTATTCAGGATTTGAACCAAATTTCCACAGGCCGCACACTATGGTTTATACTTCAAGGTACTCTCAAGTTTCAACTGCATACTGTGCTTTATGTTAAAAATAAAAACTACCACCTCTAAGAATAATTGATGTCTTTTTATTAGAATTTGTCTCAAAATAATATTTTCTTAATTCAACCTTATTATTATATTTTGATTTTAATTATTCATCTTAGCATAAAAAATTTCTATAAAAATAGAAATTATTCGTAGTCTCATAGAATTGATTAAATTAGTAGTCTCTTCTGTTAAATTTAATTGTTTTAATTTAACTTTTGAATAAAATTTTAATTAAAAATTTTTATTTAGTAAATGTATGATAATTGAAATTTTTTTTCTTTCTATACGTAATTTTTATTTTAATTAAAATAATCTATTATTTATTATTTATTATTTATTATTTATTTGTCACATAAAATTGTTAAATTAATTTACATAAAGTTAAAGAATCGGGAGAATCGAAAAAGTGCGAGGGGTTAGAATCTAGACTTTCACGTTGTAGAACACAAATAAATTGCTTAGTGCGAGAACGACCCTGAGAGGTGACTGACTTGTTGAACAAAGCTGACGATGCGAGGAACTGATTTGTTCTGGTTTAAAAGGCGTCAACTGTGGGGAGAAGAGATCTTCTCAAATCTTGAACCTGGTAAATTGGGTTCGAGTTCGACCGCGAGTATCCTAAATTAGGCTTCTTCACACCCAAATGACCCGATGGCCCTATCCCAATTTGGTGTAATGGACCTTTAGGTCCTTAGTTCTTTCCTTTCATCAGTGCTTTTTGTTTTTTTTGCTTATTTAAAAAAAATTAAATTCCTTCCGCTCATTAGCCTATACAAGATATTGTAATATTAAATAAGTAAATTTATATAATATTATAAATAAATTTTTAAATAAACAAAATTAATTATATAATAATAAATCATATTATAAATTTATAATTTTACATGATATTATAACTGTATTATTTTGAGAGATCCAAACACTATTTTCAATTATAATGTGTTATTAAATAAATGTATCATGTTATTCAATAAATGTATATATAATAACTAAACTAATCCAACTTTAATTGGATCGGTGTAATTTGATCAGATTGATTAATTTTTAACACTATTAAATATATAAAATAATGTAAAAAATTTTAATATCAAGTAATAAATATAATTATAAAACACATTAACATTGAAATTAGTAGAAACATAATAAAAAGTACAAATAATAAGTAAGTTTTTATACTTCTTTACAATTGTAAATATTAAAAAGATCTAAAATTCTTTTTGGTTATATTAAAGACATCAAAAACAATAAAAGATGACTCCAAACTTCAAGCATAGAATAAGTAATTTTTAAAGGTTAAAACTAGTTTTTTTTCTTGATGCACCAATGATTCAATTCTATCCTCCAAATCATGTTAAACGTAAATAAAATTTAATATGAATATCACTAGGATTGATTAAAAGCATTTATAATCAAAATTTAAAACTCCTCAACCAAACTTCCAAAAATAGTAGAATATCAAAACTCATTTTATTATATAGTTTTAAAACTTTTAGAATAATACTTTAAAATTTAGCTAGAAAAATCAAAATATCATTTTATGAACAAGAGAATCAAAATATCATTTTATGAACAAGAGAATCAAAATATCATTTTATGAACAAGAGAATCAAAATATCATTTTATAAATAAATTATAGCTTTAGAGTTCTAAGAGTTGAGTTGCAAATCAATTATGAGTGATAGAGTTGTAGGTGAAATAGAAATTTAAAATTAGGGTTAGAATACATGATTAAAAAGAAAAAATAAATTAAGGAATATGAAGATGTTTTATTTTTATTTTTTAATTACATTACTGGAGTTATTATTTTATAAAACAAGAAAAAAATTTTAAATA